TGTGCAATTTATCAACAATTGTTACTTTTTCATTATTTTGTTGTGAAATTTTGTTTTACCTTTTCTTAATATTAACAAATAAAGTAATTTAATAGAAAAAACAATTTCTGGTATCTTCTGTAGGTTCAGTGTGCAGCCATAATCAAGGATGCCCTAGACAAGGGCCCCGGAGGGAGGGGGTGTGCAGCAGGACGAAACCGTGACTGGGTCCCCAGTGTCCAAGGCACAGAGAGCTGAGCCAGGGGCATCCTGAATTGAGATGGACACAGCCCCACTCTGGGCCTTGGTAAGAGATGAGGACTCAGCAGGAACTGGCTGAGAAAGGGGCAGGGCACAGCCAAGAAGCAACCTGGGGACTCCTGACGGGTCTCCGGGGTCCCCATGGCAGGACCTGGTGCCCAGGGACCTGCTCACTGCTGTCAGGGACATGCGACCCCTCTGGGAGTGACCCATACACTCCCACCTGGGCACCAACAGAACATCTTTACCAAATTTGAGCTGAAAAATATCAGCATTAAATTACACTGTAAATCGAATGTGTTTAACAGACATCTTCCAAGTATTCTACCAAACAGTAACAAAAGACACATGCTTTTCAACATCTTATTAATTTTTTTCAAAAATAATTCATATTTTAGTCATCTTAACATATACAAAATAAACAAAATTATTTCTGTAATCTTTTAAGCTCACAATAAAATAAAACTATAAATAAGCAGTAAAAAACCTACAGAATCTATAAAAACATATGGAGATTTAAACAAAATACTTTTAAACAGACTAGAAATTGGAGAGGAAATAAAAAATAAAGAAATAGTATCAAATGAAACTGGAAAAATACTATATCAACACCCACAATCTGTGGGAAAAGGCAGTACTAAGAGGAAATTTTACAGTTATGGCTACATATATTAGAAAATTAGAGAGCTCTCAAGATAATAACTTGATGAGATTTCTTGTGAACACAGAGAATTTTTTAAAAATCAAACCTATGCATGTTCCAATTCCCACAAGGTATGTAATTATTATGTCATGCATATACATAATAATAAATAAAAATTGTAAAAATCAAATTATAATTTAAAAATCCTCAAAGCAAGTATTAGAGATCAGAGTTAAAATTAATGAAATCGACATGAAAAATAAAAAGGATCAAAAAAGCACTGATTTTTGAAAAAAATCAACAAAACTGATAAATCCACATACAAACTAATAAAATACATAATACCAATATTAATAAAATTAGGTAAGCAAACGTGTACATTAAAGCAGACACCACTCAAATCCAGAGAATCAATACAGACTATTTTGAAAGCATATAATCCAGTAAACTATGACATCTAGAAGAAATGGATACATTGCAATATACACATCATACCAACATTGTTGATCAAAGAGAATATTATAAATCTAAATAGATTTATAGCAAAAAGTGACATCAGAGCCATCATAGAAGGTATCCCATCAAGGAAAATCACAGGACCAGAGGAATTCGTGGCTGACCTGTAATTTTCTACTCATATCCTGACTCATTGTTTAACATTTTATTTTAAAGAGAATAAAACCAAACAAAATGAAACAGGATAAAGCCGATCAGAACAAAACAATAAGAGTGACACAGGAGTCCAAAACAAAATATTAGGAAATCAATGACGGCTACCGTAATGCCGCAGGTTATCTTCAAAATAACTTCAGCTCATTTTTGGCATTGAGGATCAAACTTGATGTAATGGATTTTTTTGTTCTACAAAAAAATTTTTTTGTTCTGCCAGTTTTGAAAAATGCAAATGTCTTTCCCAGTTGAATTTTTCCATATCTTTTTTTGATCATAATCTGTATGTCTTTTTGGCAATCATCTTGGAATTTATTTCTGCATATTGAAGTCTTTCTCAATCACTGATCACAAAGTTATTCTCCTAGAATTCCTGCACAGTGTACTTTAGTGTTTGGAATTTAATGTTTCTATATTGTGGCCACACAGATCCCAACTTTGCAGTATTCTGTCTGGCAAAATCAGGTTTACTTTGCTTCAAAATAAGAGTTTTCCTGCCACAAACAAGTGAACACTCTACTTCTTCACCTTGATTTCTGTTGTCTGATTTATCATGTCTTTCATTTTAAATAATGAACCAGTACATTTTGAAATTTCAATTTAATTTGCCTCAATGCTATTAGGTTCATGCTTTTAAGAATTACTGTAAGCTTCTAGTGTGTATCCTCATCAGAGAGATGAGAGTATCCCTCCTTAAGTCAGATTTTTAGAGATATTAATAGAGTATTACACTTTATTTTATGAATAAAATTCAAGAATTGGGTATTTCAAAATATTTGGAATATTTTCAATTTGGGAACATCTGATTCAATTTGCAGCTGTATTCAGATCATCTGCAATATGTTATTGCTTAAAACTTTCTTTCATCTTTGAGAGTTTTTCTGTTTTTCAGTAAAATCCTAGGTATTCTGGTCCAGCAGCCTTTTGAAGTGTGCTGTAGCCCCCAGGCATTTCTGAGAATTCCTGAGAGTGTGTGAGTCCCTCCTTCTCAGCAACTCCTGAGGAGGTATTTTCTGCAATTAATATTCAACATATTCCACAGACTGAATGGATAAGGACATAGATGCATCTAGCTGTCTCCTTCCAAGCAGACAGGAGACATATTAGCAAAAACAATGACTAATTTAAAGGTATTCTACATGTTAACTTTCAATATGGTCACATCCAAAGGAATTGTAAAACCTGTTTGGAAGCTGTTTCTCTCTAATTTATGCTTTTATTGGGAAATTCCTGCATTTATATACACAATGTATCTTTGATCCGTCCCGCGGATCGGTCCGTGCGCCTCACCTGGAGAAGGGACAGGGATGAAGGGCTGGGCAAGAGAAAAGAGAGATGGAGACAGGTAGAGATTCCAATTGAGTCTCATTTATTCAGGGAGTGTACATGGCTTATATAGAATCAAAGGGGACGTGGCCTTACAGGATAGGCCAGCTTGGATCTTCTCATATGCCGTGGGCCTATCAGACTAGCAGGAAATCATACGTAGGCACATAGGTAAGCGGACGTGATGTCAACAAGAGGGGATTATGGGAGAAATAGGCTGAAGTGGGAAGTTGCTCACGTCATGCGCACTGTAGGCAAGGAGAGGATCATGGAAAATGTAGGCTGACACACAAAATGTCCTCAGGTGGGAGGGGCAGGGCAGCAGCAGCCGAGCCGATCCCTACATATTTTGAGCAATAAAACCTCACATAAAACTGTGAGAAACATCATTTTCTTGCCATTTGATCCTGGCTTGAGGAGTGCTGCGCTCCTTGTTGTTAGAGTGAGTTGCATTATGATTCTCTCATCTTTTCTAGCCAATGGCTCTGTGTCTTAGCTTCCAATCCTTACCCATCCGTGTATTTTTCTTGCCTTCAGGAGGCTCTCATGACTTTCAGTTTCACATGGAAAAACAGCAAACAGTGAATCCCGACCCTAAGATAACAGATCCACAGCTGCTCCTTGCAGGGTCCTGTGCACCAGTTTCATGGCTCACATGCTTAACTGAGATAAATGTCTCCCTTCTGGTTTGTGTTCTGAAGAGGCTTTATACAAAATTCACAGAAAAGGAATTTTACAAGACAGATTTCTGCCAGGATTGGAATGAGTATCAATTTTCTGCTTAATTGTCGTGATAAACCCATGATAGGTTTCAGATGCCAGAACACTTTTGTCAGGGATGAGACACATCAACACCACTGAATTATGACAAACTCTTTTCTAGTCACCTTTGCCTTTCAGTATTATGTTTATCTTGGATTTTAAAATCTCCATGTATAGGTGAAGTGGAATTACCTTTTCTTGTAAACATTCTCACTTAGTTTAGAAAGATTTCACTACCCTGAGGAAATGAGCTGAGCAGGTTTCTCCTCTCTCTTCCACTCATTTGAAGTACATGTGGAAGACACTAATCACCTATCCTGAAAGTCAGTGGGCTCACTTGGAAATCTACTGGAGGGATGATTTTAGGCAGGGAAGGTCTTTAATGGCCTTTTGATATTCTGACAGCCTATTTCAGTCTGTATGTCCCCTTTTTTCTTTTACCAGACTTGCATTTTTCCAATAAATTATCTATTTTCTACAATTTATTAAATAATGTTCTTTTTTTTAAATACCCATGATGATTCCAATTATTTCCATTTTTTATTTTGCATTTTGCTAGTGGCACATTCTTCTAGTTATTTCTCACCTTGTTAATTATCAATAACTTCATTTTGGTTTCATTACATATTGGTACTCTTTTTCTTGAAGTGTCCTGATAAATATTTTGAAGCTTCTGTATTTCACTGAAAGTGTGGGTTCAGACTAAAATTTGGACTTTTAGTACTTAAATGATTATTTCATTGTATAAATTTCTTAATTCAGTTTATCTTTGCTGCTCAAAACAATAATACATTTTTGTAGTGAAAACATGGGCTGTGAAAAAACTGGTCTTCTAACATCGCTATTGTGCAATCTATATAATAGTTCTACTTTGAAATTGATGGAAGACTGCTATGACTTAAAACAAGCCTCACCTTTGTAAGAGGTGCATATTTTCTGGAAAAGAATTAATATTTTAGGTCTGGAAGTATTGGTTAGTAGTAGAGCACCTGCCTAGTATGTGTGAAGACTCATGTTTTAGCACCTGCACTGTAAAAAAAGTTTTATCCTATGGTTTATAAAAATATTAATATAAAATATATAAATACATTTACAGGCTAACAGCTGCACAACAATAATTGATAAACTACATTTCTGAATTTTATATTAATATTTTAATTTTAATCATCTCTTTTATTTTATCTACACAACAATGCAGGATGGTATGAACCATGATTTTACAGATGTTGGAAATGAGACCATAATGTTCAACAGCTGTCCAACAGTGTGGAGTTCTTAAATTGCCATTTGACCTGTGGCAGAGCTTAAGGTTTCACCACTCTGACCCCCTCCCGCTCCTGATCTCTCCATATACAGCAACATGCCTGGTCAGAATTACAGCACAACATCAGAATTTATCCTTTTCAGCTTCTCAGCCTTCCCGCACCAGCTGCTGCCGGCCCTCTTCCTGCTTTACCTTCTGATGTACCTGTTCACACTGCTGGGGAACCTGCTCATCATGGCTACTGTGTGGACAGAACGCCAGCTCCACACACCCATGTACCTCTTTCTGTGTGCCCTCTCCATCTCTGAGATCCTGTTCACCATTGCCATCACACCACGCATGCTGGCTGACCTGCTCTCTACCCATCACTCCATCACCTTTGTGGCCTGTGCTATGCAGACCTTCTTCTGCTTCACGTTTGGCTATGCCCACTCCTTCTTGCTCATGGTCATGGGTTATGACCGCTATGTGGCCATTTGCTATCCACTGAGCTACAATGTGTTCATGAGCCCCACTGTTTGTGCCCACCTTGTGACCTGGTCCTGGGCTGGTGGCTCAGTTATGGGGATGATAATGACGTCAATAGTTTTCCACCTCACCTTCTGTGAGTCTCATGTCATCCACTGCATTCTCTTTCATGAATTTTCCCTCTTGAAGTTGGCCTGTGGTGACGAGATGGGCTCTGTCACCATAGGTGTGATCCTGGTGTGTGTCATACCCCTGGTAGGCTGTTTATCCCTCATCATCCTCTCCTATGTAGTCATTGTGTCCGCCATCTTGAGGATTCCCTCTCCTGAGGGCCGGCACGAGATCTTCTCCACCTGTGTATCTCACCTCACTATAGTGATTGTGCATTATAGCTTTGCTTCCATGATCTACCTTAAGCCGAAGGGGCCCCATTCTATATACACCAACACTCTGATGTCCACTATCTATATCGTTTTCACCCCCTTCCTCAGCCCAATCATTTTCAGCCTCAGGAATAAGGAACTGAAAACTTCCATCAATAAAAACTACCACAGAAAACTCTGCCTGCAAAACCCCTAATGATCAGGCTTTGTGTGGTGAAATAGGGTAGAGAATGCAGATAATCTTCACAGGACTGTTGAAAGGATTTAGGTTTGTGGAAAGACCCACATCAGCTGGTGTTTAATAGGTACCATCTGTTATTTATCTCCACTTCTTTCTTAGGTTCAAGCAATCATGATCATCTATTTGTGATCAGGTAGGATGTAATCCCTCCAATTGTTTGTGCCTAGCATGGGGTCAACTGTCTACAGGCATGTGGAAATTACCCTGTGGACATATGAATGCTATTACATATTGTACATAACAAAGCAGAAGGTTAAAAATTGCCATAAGCATCATGATGTGTCAAATCTTCTGTATGTATCCAGCAATATGTTCCATTTTACATTAAAATAGTAATTTTAATTAAAAGAATTATACAAGAAGCATTATACTACTCTTTCCAAAGACAACTACTTTAATCAAAGCATGCATAATTAATGTATATGCACAAAATCATGTATAATCAATGTGTGAGAACTAGGACTGACAGTTACATTTTGAAACTGTTTCTAAGTTCTTGCAATTGTACCCCACTCACTGGCTCATAGATTCCATCATGTGCCACACATGCCAAAGACTCCCCAGTCTCCAACCTGAGCTCACTAACATGTAGCAATAACCCATCACTGTCAGCTAACCAGACCCCTCCCCAAAATGATAATCTTTATAACCGACTCCTTTGTATAGTGAGAGAGCTCCTGCATTCTCAGGCCATGTGTCTCTCCCATGCCTGAATTAAAAGTCTTATAGTTCTTTGCCTTTCTTCTCATTATTTCTGCACCTTTAAGTGGATTCCCAAAAATACTCAATGAAGAGGCTGGCAGAGATAGTCAACTTAGAATTCAACATTATATACAGTGCATAAATACAGAGTATGAAAGAGAAAACTTTTTAAAAATAACAAGGAAACAAGCAGTAACAATACAAAGGCTAGAAGATGACAAAAGGATATATAACTTGAGAATAAAGAAGGTGAGTGAAGAAGCAGGGGTACAAACAAAGGAACTACAAAGGTTATTCACAGAAATAATTAAGGAAAACTTCCCAAACATAGGAAAAGGAAATGATATTCTGATATATGAGGCATACAGAACTCCAGCCACCTACAACCAAAACTACACCCAGGCATATAATAATCAAGATCCCAGAAATTCAATATAAATATTAAAATCTGTTTGAGACAAGAAACAGATAACCTATAGAGGAATACCCATCAGAATAATGGCAGACTTCTCAACACAAACCATCAAGTCAAGAAGAGCCTGGAGCAAAATATTCCAAGCCCTAAAAGAAAATAACCTCCATTGCAGATTGATATACCCTGCAAAATTGTCTGTAGAAATTAATGGAGAAACAAGATGCTCCTAAGACAAAGAGGAACTTGGGAAAATCACAACCACCATTCCAAGTCTACAGAGAATACTGCAGGGCATTCTAAAGAGAGGAAAAAAGTACTAGGATTCCAGGAACAGTGGCAGAGAGGCCTCAATGAATGGAGCAGAAAACAGAATGAAGAAGATAAGCAGACAACTTATGGCAAACAAGAGCATAACAGAAATGAGGCAGAGAAGATTTTATTCAAAACTGTTATGATTGATAGTATCAAGTCTGAGAGTATAGGCAGCTTCACTGAAGATGACAAGACTCTACGATACACATTCTGGTTTGGTAACTGCCAGTTTTTGAAGTTCTATGCTATATACAAAGTTGTGTTTTTATTAATACTGTTATATACTGATATATTCAATTATACTATGTCGATGATATAGCCAATTCTATTGGAGATAACAAGAGACAACACAGGGACCATGGTAGAACTCTTTGTACAATGGTCTTATATGTTTATTTCATTTCATGTTTTTAAGGAATATGTTTTGTTTTGCCATGCTTTGTTTCTTTTCTCCCTCTAATATAGAAAGGATAGAAATACATGTTAAGACTCATGCACGTGTAGAATCTGTAAACAGTTTATGAGAACATATCTTATGACACATGATGAAATTAACAGATACTTAGAAGAAAAAGAGACACTAAAATACCCAGTGCTGATCCTGGAGGGTCATAATGTGAAACCCAGCAATAGTATTATTCTTTGTACAGAGTGATATTAGCTTGCTATATCAACTATATATTGATATTAGTTGAAAAGAACTGGTTGCAATCTCACTGTTTGAATCCCCACTTTATATACTCCACTTTAGCATCTTGAATAACTATTTGTAAGAAGACAGTCTATAATCATCAACTAGTGATTTCTTACTGTTTATATTTTCTTTAATATTATGTATTATTTCTACCCATTTTCTGTTTTGTTTAGTCTTTCTTTAAATTAAATATTTTTTAAAAGGCACTACAGTACCCAGTGCTAATCACAGAGTGTCATGATGTGAAAGCCAGCAATACAATTATTCTTTGTTCAGAATGATTTTAACCTGCTTTAGTTTGTTTAATCTAAACATAAATGAAGCTATGGATAACTGCATGTATGTTTAAGTATATAGGATTGACACCCATGTTACTAAGTTTTTGTTGGACAGTTGAACAGAAGTGTTTGCAGTCTCGCTATTTGAATTCCCACTTTACATATTCCACTCTTGTACCTTGAACAACTATTTGTAAAACGACAATATGTAAACATCAACTAGTGATTTCTTACTTTTTTTTCTCTGAACTTATGTATTATTTCTACCTAAAAAAAAAAGAATGCTAGTAAATTTTATATCCCCTACTTGCATTAAATTTTCAGTTTGATTATCTCTATAAACTCATCACTTATTTAGACCTTTCCTTTTGTTTTTGGTTAGTATCTGTTGGGCATTCTGTGTAACTTAGGGTAGGTTTTAACTTCATCCTTTTTATGAGTTGTGGAGTGGTCTCTGAAGCATCACTGCCATAGGACTGAGCACTTGTATTTGAGAGATGGAATCAATCGTTCTCTGGTTTTGGGTCCACAATACAGCCAGGTAACACACACTGCACCCTTTCTGAAAAACATATGCATACCCTCTATCCCAAATTAGCACTGGACTGGGAGCTTTGATTGTCCAGTATGAAGATCTTTCCAAAAGACTCTTTTTAGCCTTTATTGGAGTTCATTATTTTTCTGCTATGGTAGTTCCATTTTTGTAAGAATTTTAAAATGTTTAATTAGTATATACTGACAACTGAAACTTATGAGGTGAACTCCCTCTTTTGTATTTGAAATTTAAATTGTGAGCACATTTAACCATTTTAGACCTGAGGATTATAAGGAATTTTGTGGTAAGGTACAGAGTGGAGAGGAAACCCTGCATTTTGTATTTAGGCACTTTGGCCTGTCCTTTGCCATTTGTGCTTTCACCACAGGCAGCAGCTCCTGTCTCCCTGCCTGAGGTGGTGGGTATGGCTGGCTGGTGTGCATGGAGATATTTCAGGCTGCAGTGGGGCACAGGCATAGACACTGTGGCTTCCAGTTGACCCCAGTGCTGGGAGCTTGTGCTCCTGTTCTGGCCCAGAGACCCTGCTGCTGTTGGAGATCTGATGTGGGCAGTGCTGGGACCTAGTAAACTTCTGATGCATAAAGCTCAGGTGCTGATGATGGAAAAAGCCAGGAAGGCTATGACACTTAAGAGCCATGTACCACCTTTCTGGAGCCCTGTCCTTCCTTCTTGGAGCCAGGCTGATTGCTACTGTGCCACCAGTGGGCCAACTGTTGAAAACTAAGGCAGGCTCCAGTGGAATTTGCTCCTCAAAACTTGGGAAACTGCAACTCCACGGTGCCGGTCTCACCTCAGTAAATCAGGCCAGGCCAGGCCAGGCCACCACAGGGAAATTCTCAGCACCTTACATCATTTATTTGTGGTTTTCATGGTAAAACCCTGAAATGGTTTATTTGGACCCTGCTGACTAGAAGGCAAATCAATGGCTGTCCTAGGTGATGAAGGAGGCTCCCTCCATGCCCTTGTCACTGCTAAACTGATCTGAATTGATCAAATATTCACCTATCAAAAATAGCAGCAACGGCGTCCTCCCTGATTAACAGATCTTTTCTAATGGCTACATTTTGACAGCATTGCCAGGGGCCTGGTCTCTGCACAATTGAAAATTTTTTCCATGCACAACAAATAGTTCCCCAGACTTCAACATGTGTTAGCTATTCCTTTCCGATATGTCACCTTAGAAGTTTTATAAAACCCAAGGCAACTGGTCTGGGGAGGAAATGAGGAAAGCGCCTCCACTGCTTGGTGGAACTCAGCTGGGCCCCTCCAGTGGCTTCTCTGGAACAGTAGGGCTCCCACATCAGTTTTCAATTTACATCCAGTGGTCCAGAGATATCATTTGGTACACTTTGGACAGACAGTGGCGGATTTGTTGAAGGGACAGATTGTGGCCCTGTTGCCCCACAGGAGCAGCAGCACCACTTAGGCCCAATCCTCTCCTGCCTCCCCGCAATGAAAACAAGTAGCTTTGTTGTTTCCCCTTCCTGTAGACTGTGAACTCATAGTGTGAGTGATTACCACTTGTCTCAGACTATTGGGGATTCAAAGCTTAGTACCCCAGTAGATATGCCTAAAACCCTCCATGTGCTCCCCTGACAGTCTGACTTCTTTCAGTGCCAACTACAAGTGAGAAAGAAAAAACTGCTCTCCTACCTAAGAGGTGGGATTTTGGACCTGTGACACCGCAAAATTTCTTTGAGCTGAAGAGGTAGAGATAGCAGTTTGTGACTCAGTCAAAATAGTGAGTGTGGTAAAACAGATATCACAGCAAAGTTCTACTCTTCCAGGCAAGAGTTATTCCCCTATCTTTCTTTTCTAATTGAGCAAAGCCAGAAAGCTTAAATTCTATCAAAGTTTCTCTTGTTCTGCCATCTTTCTCTTGCTCAGGACTCAATTTTAAAATATTGCTCTGATTCCAGTTTCCTGTGGCTGTCCCAACAAGCCCATGATCATCAGGATACTTTCTCTTTTTTAAGAGGAAAAAAAGAAAGGACATTT